TGCTATTTCGAATAAGTGGCCAAGTAGCTGGATCCGCTTTATTCGGGACAACATTATCAACTCCATCTAGTACATGTATTTGTTGTACATCAATAACAGATTTATCCTGATCAGCATCTGTAATCGTAACACTACTTGCTGCCTCACTTCGGGATTTTTCATCCACAATCTCTTGAGTAGCTATTTCATCTGACTTGCCAGACAGAGGCTCCACTGCCGATGCATTCGTTTGTATTGCAGCATTTTAGCTTCAGCTTAACGTTTAAACATGCTCAAACGAAAATTTTCTTAAATGACCGAACGATAATGCCCGCCAATGTACGTCATCTTACCTAATAAAATACATATCTTCATATTGGTAATCGGTATGTTGTTCTGTTTTACCATAATATAATATTATTCTTGTTAAGTTTTCTTTCAATTCATGCTGAAAGTGAGGCAACTTGAAAACAAAAACACATCCTCACGGTTCTTGTCTTTTTTCGCCGACCCAGTCCTTGTTCAATGAGCGAGGGTACTATATATATATAATCTTTGTCTGTGGGAAATGAGGAAGTATTAGAAAAAAAAACATTAGTTCCCGAAATCAAACTAGATGTCGCTACGGTACGTTCTTGATTTCTCCATTACAATCCTTCCAGTTTTCTTTCATGTTTAAAAGTAAATTAGTTTTCAAAATTCAATCAACAACTTATATTCTATTTGTACTTTTTCGTATTTGTATTGATATCTAAGTTTTGAACATTTCAAATTTCAGTTTTTTTAATATCTTACTTAAATAAAAGGAACAGAAATGACTATCTTTGTTCCATTCGTTTCCTGCAAAAATCAACTTTTGCTAGAGTCGCCGTCTAGTAGAGGTACTTTTGTAGTGCTTTCATTTTTTAAAATATTTCCTCATTATACAGAACCAGAAAAATGCGCCGGACGAAAAAAGGGCGCCGCGGCCGGTGGCGCCCCTTTTGGTCCGGCGCCCCTGGGCGGTCGCCCAACCGCGCCCTACCCTAACACCGCTACTGATCCCAGGGTTACCAGAGGAGTGTTAGAAATGTGTGTCCAAGTGTACCGCACAAGACGTCTTTGGCTAGACGTCAATTTTATGTCTGTGGCTCTAGGATTTATAATGTGGTGCATAAGGTAAATAATATCCTTCCTCTAACCCTGTACAAATGTAAGCAAAGAATTCGTCAGTGGTTACTGGGTCTGAATTACAGAGAAACAGAAAATATTATCTTATAGATAAAAAAAAATAATAATAATAATACTTAAATATATATATAAAAAAAAATATATATATATAAGTAAAATATAAATAAAAACAGGTATATATTACAATGAATAATAAACACACATACACACACACATGCACACACACACACCAACACAACACATACACATACACATAGGTATAATTTTTGTAGACAACTTGTATAAGTTTTTTATTTGGGGTGGAAGACACTGGCAGTTGTATCACAGTTCATACTTCTACAGCTGTCAGCGTGATACCGTGTAAATTAAATTATAAGTTGTTTTGTATTCTTTTGTAATTTGGTATGTATAAGGAATTGAAATAAATTATTATTATTATTATTAAAAAAATACTAAGAGGCAGGACCACCCCGGCAACCTATATTATTATATGATAGAATTTGAATATATACATACCTATATTCAAATTCTATCATATATATAGTATGATAGAATTTGAATGTTTGGAGGATGCGGAAGAGGATAGCAAACTGGCAGAAGGACTTGTGAAGATCTATACAGGTGTAGTCCTGACATATAGGAAAGGAGCTGTTGAGATCGCGTCCCGAAAATTTAAGCTAGAACCATTCTGTACAGTCTTCCAAGCCAAGCTGAATGCTATCCTCCAAGCAACCGAGCATGTAATGAGTAAAGAATGGCAGGAGGTCGCGGTGCTTAGTGACTCGAGATCCGCTTTCCAATCGCTTCAGGATCCAGACTCATCGCACCACGGTTGTAAGGTCTCATTATGGATCAGGGCCCACGTCGGCGTGTTTAGAAACGAGAAAGCGGATGAACTGGAGAAGGGAGCGGCTCTCGGGTTTAAATGTAAATCACATTTTGACCGCTGTCCCATCTTCTTTGTTTAAAGGCATATACGAAATTTAAAAAAGGTAGAATAGGACAACAGTTATAAGAGCGGGACCACCGCGGCCACGACGAAGGTATTCTTCCCAAGCGGGGAGAGGACCTTCGCCGTAGTAAGAGAGTTGAAGTTTGATAGATAGGCTGCACAATTGCTAACGGGGCATGGAGGGCTTAGATCATACCTCCATAATTACAAATGTAGGGATACCCCAAAGTGTGAGTGCGAGCCCAAGTAAAATAAGATGTTTTCCACATTATTTTGGAATGCCCGATAGTCAACTATGATAGATACACTTTACAGATGCTTCGAAAAACAAACCTCAGCAAGGACAACTTAGCAGATAGAATGGAAATTAAAGAGGAGAGAAAAGTATTTATAGAACATGCGAGTACTATTGTACAGAAAGTTTCAAATAGGAATAAGGACTAAAAATTGTAAGCATAATATATCTTTCTTTGATATTAGAATAAGTAAATTTCAATGCCTGCACAATAAGTAACAAGAATGAAAAGAATGTAAATACAAACACAGAATAAAATAAAAGTGTGAATATAACAAGATGTAATAGTAGATATAAGAACCCAACAAAACAAAAATGCAAAACGAAATAGAAAAAAATGTAATAGAATATAAAAAATATGAAAAAGAAAATAAATAGGGAAAATATGACCCTTAAACTACCAAAGGTAATCACATATCTCAAAATAAAAAAGTAAATAACTAAACAAGCAGAAAAGATAACCTCTACAAAGATAACTGCTACATCAGAAGTGGGGAAACCGATTTAAAAAAAACAAGGCTGACGACTTTTTCGAGCACTTGTTACTTTTTCGCTACTACAAAGCGTATTTTCATCAATGTTCAGCCAATCTACTCAAACAGCATACGTCGAACGATATCGATATAAGTAAAAAGCATAAGTAAACAAAAAAGCACTTACCCATTGTACGAATTAACATAACCCAGGTTAGAAAGTCTTCCCTGTACAATGTGCCGCACGATAGCTACTGAACTTGAATTGGATGAACTGTAAAATAGGAATTGATACTGCCTTTGATACGTAGATAATCTTCGTGAATATGATTTATCGTTCTTATATTAAATTATAAGAACGATTCGAAGTTTTCCGAATTTTTGTTCGAGAACGAATAGAATAGACCTAATGGTGTCATGTTAATTCGTAAGAACTGTACAAGGATTATTTTTTTATTAGTCTGTGTTTTATGTCGAATCAACAGCACGTCAGATTCTCCACTTGTTTTGAAACCTTAATAATTTTAGGTACAGTTTAAAATCAATTGACGTTTGACATATTATGGTATTCTGATGGTACAGCCGTGTGTAGTAAATATAGCAAAAGATTAGGTATCATAAGTAAGTTTGTCTATTGTTATATAAAATCAATACTCTTTTATCAGTTTCTCTTATTTATTTTTTTTAAGAAAATGTATAGAAATGCTTTGAGCACTAACTAGATAGAAATGCTTTGAGCACTAACTAGACATTTTCTTCCAATAAAGAATAAGTAAGTAAATTTTAGTTTCAAAAATATCAATTAATTTTTATTAATCACAATCGTTACATTTAATAGTTGATTTATTTTTAAAATAAATTATAATACCTACTTATATCTTGACCTAGTTAATTTTTTTCATTTATTATTGAATATACTGCAAATCATAAGTAGATTTTTTTTGTATTTTAAAATCCAATCTTTATTATGTAGATGTTCAAACTAAAGTAACTTCTCGCGAATTTAAATGAGTTTAGGTGAATATGATGGTGTGGAGAGACATTTCATGCTTCTTTGTGTAACCTTGGGCGACTTTCATTTGTTGTCGGTTTTTACGCCAGAACTGGAACTAACACGAAGTGCCCCTCTATACTATTTTAACGTTATTCTTTTTCATACTTATTTTGACACGACACAATAATTACGAGTGGAAACATTACATTGCTACAGCAACGTCCATGACGTGCCATCCGTGTTAATTAATTTCTCGCTGAAGTTGAATGAACGAGCGTGTAGCAACGTACTTCGGTTAACCGTCTCGAATATTTGGTCAAGGAACTTTGCAAGTAGTCTGAAGCAGCCATAAGAATCGGTATAAGTCTATTACTTATCGATTTGTTAAAGGACGAGTATCCCTATTTATCAAAAGTAAAGAATGACAGTATGTTTTTTGTGTTTTAAAATGCAAAGGAATTAAGCTTTTAAGTACACAGCTCTGCCCGGCGATTCTGTAAAAATCCACACTCGAATTTGAATTCACTCATGTTTCCGAATCACGTCGTTTAGTGTAAAAATTCTATTGATTCCATTGTCTTAGATATTCTATTCCTATGTCATTTTGAAGCTCGCTTCGCTTATGCCACGAAACGTTATTACCAATTCAAGGTTCAGCGGATGCCGCTTTTTGAAGTGAATTCGGACACCTGAGTGAATTCAAATTCGGGTTTGGATTATTACAGAATCGCAGGGCTGAACTCGAATTCACTTCAATAAACCGCATCTGCTCAACCTTGAATTGGTAATGGCATAAGTTGAGTTTTGAAATGACAGGAATAGAATATCTGAGAAACGTATATTCAATTTTGTATTTTCATATAAAAAATGGAATTTCCACATAAAATGACTGAATGAATTCGAATTCGGGTCTGTATTTTATAGAATAGCAGGGCTGATGTGTTAGGTTTTAGAGTATATTGCTAGGTACATTTGCTTTCGTCTCAGAAGTAATTTGAATACTATATTCTAGAGACTAGAGTTAATTTGGACAGTTGGTTTAAGACTGACGATTCAACCATTGAATAAAAATTAAGACTTCTAAAAAATGTTACACAAATTATTGTCGCTATCGACTATAGCCGTGAACGGGTTAAGTAGTATAATTAAAAGAAAAAAGCAATTTAGGTGTTTAGCTAATTTATTTTCAGTTCTTAAACGCCAATAACCTACAATAATGAGCTGATAATACAATTTAAAAAAATCTATCCTATTTTTTATTGAATAATGCTTGGTAACAAATTATATCCTTCCGTATTCAATAAAAAGTTTATATCTAAACAAGAATAGAAAACAACTCTCAATAACGCTCTCTTAGTGCCAATATAATGACACAAAATCAATACATTACTGAGACAAATAACTTAAAATTCAAATAAAGCTAATCAGTAATTTCCTAATGAGCCTATTTTGTATGTATCAGTGAGTTAGTTTTAAAGAATTTCAGTTTTTATTTGAATAAGTTGTTACCATAAACATGAATACAATATAAATTAAACAACTAGAAACTCGTGAAAGTTAAGATGGCAGGATGCCCTGGTTTTTTGAAGTTGAATTTAAGGTGTTTAGTAACTGGTGCAACTTCATGCTATCAACGATTTTAAGGGGGTGCATACATCAAAAATTTATTTCTATGAGTTTTATAAAAATAAATAAAAAAATATCCAAATAAACCGTAATTAAAAATGGGACAACAACATCATATTTCTGTTAAAATCTCCTATAGTTTAGAGGCATTTCCGGTTAATTTTAAATCAATAGTAAGTATTGATTTAAAATGAACTGTAAATAATTTATACAATATTACTGAAATCAGCAATAGAACCTACATACGTGAAAATGTTAAATAATATAATTTAATAATAATTATTAATAGTTACTATACACTTATGGCAAAAATTTTGTTACTCCAGCCATTTACGCCACAAAATATTTCAAAAATCAGGTGTGATCCAGCCTCCTTCACATTCACAGATAAATCAAAACTGTCTGATACACGAGGCCACTTGTCATTATGAAACTACACATACCGACCACGGCATGCGAGTCGGACAAGAAGAAAAAACATAATTTAAGAACTAGAACTATATAATTCGTAAAATTAAATATAATCCATATCAATCAAAATTATGGCTAATAGCAAAAATGTTTGAGGACATTGATCTCTTAACAGGCACTCCGTGTGATTTTGTGTTAGATCTAAGTAAACTACAGGTTTACAAATGTTATCTTTTAGAAAATATTTAAAAAAACCTTCTACCAAAAATTGGCTTTGTATTATGTTGTGTGTACATTTATTTGGTAGACCAACGCGAAACCAAACTGCGGCACATGGAAGCCGACGCTTCACTCCATGTCTGTGGATCCTCAGTCTATGAACACCAGCGAACCTTATCTAAAGCATTATAAGCTAAATTATGTGTATGTGGCATGAACACACCGTGGAATTCATCTAAGACAATTGCTGATTAATCATTGTTTGTATATTATCATTTTTAGAAGTCAAGTTGAACATGGTATGTCATAATACTGTCAAATTTGTATGAAATAGCACTAAATAGAATCATATAGTATGTCTCCAGATTAATAAATATTGTACGGTTGCATAGATGAATTCCACAAGCAATCACAAATTTTCAATTTATAGGATACTCTATATTCCCGCATATAATATTCACATATACCAAAATATGTTTGTCTTGATATATTTGCAGCATATTAGTAACGCCGCGCCGCCGACTCCTTTGTTATTATTAGGACAGATCTGTAAATGGAACATTTTGAACATTATAGAACAAGTTTATCTTATCTCTTTAATAATAACAGAGCACTCAAATCAGTTTCTTCAACAGCACAACAATTTTTGTAAATGTATTGATTTTGAAGAATAGTTTCTGTTAATCAATGTAACCATTCTATTATAAGACCAAACAGAGTGCCTACACTGTTTCTCCACAAACGAAAATTCGGAAAAAATAGAATAGTTCTTATAATTTAATTAAAATTATATCCATGAAGATTATTTTTGCATTGGAAGAAGTGTGAGTTGCACAATAAATTATCGAAAAATGAGTTTCTTCGGATTCATAACAGAGTTTCGAATATACACGAAATTTCGTTTTCAGAGAAACAGTGTAGGCCTTCAGGTTTGAGGTATGCAATAATTCTGTATGACTTACAACTTGGGACGAGATCCTGATGCATATGATGCTCGGCGTCCATACCGAGCGGCATGCACGTGGCGGGTGGGGGACGGCGTTGTACCTATTATCACACCACATTCAATTAGATTTAGGTAACATAGATATTATAAGTTAAACACTTATAATATCTATGTTGTCATTTCATTTTATGATATTATAGATACTGTTAACGATGTTAAGTAAACATTAAAGTCCAGTTTCAAATAACTATAAAAGTCTTTATGGAATATTTATTGTTTTGATTGTAGGTAAAACATCTGAAAAAGCTAAAAATCTAAAAAGAAATCAACAGTACAGGAAATGATTGCTGCTGATGGAAAGTATTCAACAATATTTTTTTTATAAAATTTCTAAAGGTTTAATATTATAAAAATAAAAACATGAAAGTAATATAGCCTATTGTTTTTATATATAATTTGTAAACTGCATACAGCCTTAATAATGTAATAAAACTGTTATCTATAACAGTTATTGAATAGAAAAAAAATGGGTTAGCTACCAATGGCTAATAAAGTATTGAGTAAAAATCTAGGCGTAATTCATGACTCGAAATGATTATTTGATAAACATGTAGATTATATAGTTAAAAAAGCTTCTTGAGCACTGGGGTTTATCATCCACAGTTCTGCTAAATTCCGAAACATAAAAATGCTTAAAAGCTTATACTCCACGTATGTGCGGCGGAGCCACCTTGAATATTCATCTCAAATTTGGAATCCTCAATATCAAACCTACATAACTCGAATTCAGGGAGGGAATTCAGAAAAGATTTTTTAAGTTCCTAGACTTTAAATCTCAACAATATTCTATATTGACTACAACTTTATATGCAAAAAGTATCATTTTCTGCCGTTGGAGACAAGAAGAATAATTAGTGATGTCTGTTACCTGCCTAATGTTGCCTGCGGAAGGGTCGACTGTTCTTAATTACTATCTCTATTATACTTTAAAACCAACTAGCTTCGATTAAGACAAAGACCACTTCTATGTCCTTTGAGAGCCAGAACACTTTACAGAAGGAACACTTTTGTGATATGAGCGTGCAATACATTAATATACTACCTCATGATGTTGACTTTTTTTGTTCTAGTACCACATATGTTATTATTGCATGAATGTTAATGTTTACATTTTTCTTTTAAGTTGTCCTATAGGTTTTTAACTTTTAATTTATAACCTATTTGTGGAGATTTGTAATTAGCATTGGGATAATTTACTATGTTAACTAATGTTGATATTTGTCTGTAATCTTCCTAAAAATAAATAAATAAATAAAATAAAATGTACCTGATCTAAGTTGAAGCGGACGAAAGCCTCATACTGTTCAGCGAGTTTAGTGCTGAGCGCGCTCTCATACTCCGCTCGGAGCGCGGCCTCTTGTTCGCGCAGCATCCTCTCGCAGATCATGCGGACCTTCACATAAACAAATCCTGTTACTAACATTGAATGACAACACTATAAATTGCGAATACGTATTTTCAAAATCCATTATACATAATATAATGCATCTCTTAAGTAGTGGCTAACCAAAGTCAGTAACTATGAGGCTCAATGAAAACTTGTAGCTTTTATTTATAATATTCTAGATTTGTGAACAAAACAGTCTCCTTGTATATGTTCACAGAATAAGCCAGAGTGCTAGGAGCAAATAAAATAAGCATTGTAAATTTACAAATCATCACTCTGCTAGCTATCATAGCAATCAACATCAACTGAATAATGCTGTTGTGTTGACACAAGGGCTCAATGAGTAATTTTTCAGTACCACAAAGCTTGTCTATAGACAGAAGTCTTAGTTATAAATACATATGCTTGATTTTAATGTATTATTCTTTAAAATTATGTTCTTATATTATGATGATTTTAATGTATTATTTTTGTAAATATTGGCTCAGGTCTGAATGATGTGCTTATTTCATTGCTTTAGATTTCCAAACCGTTACTCCCACTTGGTTAAAATGCACAATAATGTTGTCTCATGTACTATAAATCGATTTATTTTACGAAGTTGTATAATAAATTGTTCATATTAAGGTAGTATCAGATATAATTTGTTTTAAAAAATATATATCTTAAATATCAAGGTTAGTAATGTCTTCTCACCTGCTTGAATGTGAACAGTGCACGATTGTGAACCTTCTGAGAGTTGTGCGACGAGCGATGCGGCGGCGAGGAGTCTCCCTCGCTGCCGCTGGACGACGAACACGAAGCGGCCGCGCCACTGGCGAGGCGCAACTGGCGGCGCCGCTGCAGCCGCTTAATTTCATCGCATATCTCTTGTGCCATACGTTCTGTCAAATGAGATATCCATTAAACCAATACTATGTGTATCATAATATAGCAATTGTGATTAGTATAGAGATGTGTACCAACTGTGGGATGCTTGCCCTATCCTTTTAACTTGACTCGAAGCAACATCTATCACATGTTTTTTAATTAAACTATATAGGTACTTTTAGACTTATAAATAAATTTAAAAAAAACTAGTATTTAAGTTTTGTTATATAAGTTTTGAAGTTTCTTTACTACTGCTCTACCCCTAAGAAAATGCCCATCTGTTTACGAGTTGATGAATACAGTGTACTCAAGACTTAGTAGTGAGATAATAGTTTCACTATGTAACTTATTATATGACATGAGGTCTCATGCACATTTTATATTTATTATGTATTTCAACTAGGTCATGGCACATTTGGTACATCAGAATGTTATCACAAACTTTGCAATACTCAGAGGCATCTTAATATAAACTTTGAACTGAAATCCTTGTTTTTAGGTTTTTAATTATGACATAATTATAAGTAATTATTTCTTGTTTTCCATCTACACGGCAACAAAAATAACCAGTTCATCATTTGTCATTTTTGTAGGAATTTTATAATTAAATAATGGATGAAGTCATTATTAAACTATTGTGAAATCATTCACAGTGCTATAATAAACAAGGTTTAGTGTCAGCATAAATTGCAATTTAAGTTTTAGTCCAAATTCATATTATACAGAGAATAAGCAAACCTACTACCTTCTAGGAGTAAATATTACTCCCGTAGTACCTCGTACAAGGTTAACCTTTGCTAAGTCTCTGTTTAAAAATATGAATTTTGACTGATACTAAGTGCAATCTTGGAGAAAATTTTAAAAAAATTGACTCCAATGCTATTAAAAAATTTACCTTGTTTATAATATTGTCAACGTTTATAAACCTTAATAATTTTAACAAACCTTTGGTGTTTAAATTTGGTCAAACTTAATTCTCAACTATTCAACCATAAGGAATTAAAAAATTCATTATAATAATCAAGAGATAATTCTGTTATGGTTTCTAAATAATTATTACATACTTACATTAGACAAATTGTAATAATTCATCATGATATGACATAATAACTTAAGATAACTCATCTGATGAATTTGGATTATAATAACATGGTATTTTTTGTTTTCTAACCATAAAAAACATGTATAAAATGTTCAAATATAATGAAATTTCACATGCAAACAGTAATGTTTCCATTTGTGAAATAGTACTATGGACACAAAGGACCAATCATTTCATATCATATTTATTTTTATTAGTAAAGTATCTAAGCAATTTTAAAAAATTCTAAAAATATGAATAAATTAATTTTGTTAATGTGCATTTATTTAATTTATTAACACATTCATCATGTCATGAACTTTGTGCTCAATAATTTATAACAAAAGATTTATGGTAATTAAAGTAAGAGACAATTAAAAAAATAAGAGATAAATCTTATAAAATAATGCAAATGACAATTTTAATTATTAATATTTATTTCAGCATTAATAAAGCATTAAAAAAAAATGTGATTCAAGTGTTTCATAACAAAGATTTTGTGAATATGCAATTAACTGACACCATTGTTAGGTTATTGCCAAATTAGCAAAAAATCTATGTATTGCAACAGTATCTCAAATATCGTACGACCGATTTCCAAATCTCTAGAACGAAAAACAGGGCTTAACTGGCTTGGTCCACTGGTTAACAAAAGAAAATAATAAAAAGAGGAGCAAAAAATCCACCCAACGGTTTTCACGCATCATCCATCTCGCTCTACACGATGAAAATTTCATGATAGAGCAAAAATAAAGTGACAAATTACAGCTGATTATGACTTATTATAATGATTTTACGAGTCTGAGACAACGAAATGAGGATTATTGTTAGTAGCTGTTACTAAGCTAATTTAAAAATAAACAAACCTGGGGTCAATTTTACAGGTGCAGTAACTGATTCTCCAAAAGTGGAAGGTCTATTTTCAGTCATTTTGATTCCTGGGCTTGTGCTGGAACTTGCTGCAAACGGGGCACATCTTCGCCTTTTAGCAGGCAATTGTGCCATCGATTCCCAGTCCAAATTTCTTTTGAGAGTAGCACACGCCATTTTCTTTTTGCACCCAGCGACTGACTTCAATCAACTATATACTAGTGATAGTGTTAAATTTCAACTATTGTCACAGGCTTAATACAACACAAATAATATTAACACGTAATTTAAACTAATGATTTAATTCTAAATATAATATTACTTTACAGTTCTCACCAAGGATTTCTACGAATATTAAAGATTATTTATAACGCTATTCAACTCGCTCACTATCAATTCCAAAATCCGGTGGCTACAGTTTTTTACTCCATTCAATTTATTTTGACATTTTGTTCATTGTTGTAAACAGAGTAACCAACCTACAGAAAAATTAACCATAGAGAATTCCACTAAAGTGTGACTGTCGAATCGTATTCGTGTGACAAGCCCATACTGTAGGGATACACAAAAAGTATCGATACTTCAGGGTATTGTAACGTAACCGCCATTGAACAATAAAAACATTTTTAACACCTTTGCTCGTAAAGCTGATGTAATGCCACCGGTTTTAAATATGCAAAGAGAGTCATAAAAAACGCGTGTGTTACCAAAGCAAATAGTTAAGTTATAGTCCATAGAAATTCCATAACAGTATTATTTGCCATTTCGCGCGCTGTTGCTATTCAAATTTCGAACTAGTCGCCGCGCGACGCCAGTCAGTAGGCAGCGCTAGCGCGCTGTTAAAATGGCGGGAAAGCAACAGTGTACATTCACAGATTGAGTTTATTTAATGTTTTTTTTTCTGTTTCCTCGCAAATGTGTTAAAAAACATCGTACGATATACGTGCGTATTGGATATAACATGCGAGGCAGAATTTCAGCCCGAGCCGAAGGCGAGGGCGTAATTGAGCCGAGCATCATAACGCACTAATATCGTAATGTACTATTTCAGTCTAATTGATTTACTAATTTATTATTTAAAGTTAGCAACATAAATCCGGTTTTTATAAATGTAATAAAAAAGTATTCGATATGATACTGGTATCGAGTAAAGTATCAATACTTTTGGAATCTTGTGGAACCCTAGCCACTGCAATGTTTTGAAATATGTATTTATGTAACAGACTTATATGACAGCTAACCAGTCACTATTTTAATTTTGAACTCTGAAAAAGTATATAACCTGTTAAATTCAAAGTTAAATTATATGGATATCACATTGGTTACAATAATTTGCAAGCATGTTCAACTCTTGTTTATGAGGAAACGATAGTTAGACACCAATTTTGTACAACTACACATATAAATGCTTACTCACCTACTTGAGTATTAGCTGTATGGACTAGATCTCTTTACCTTTCAGGAAAATAAATTGGTGTATGTCACTGTTATGTGGGGATGCTCGATGTCAGAAAAACATCGACGTTATCATTGTAAGTCCAACACTGATTTTCGATATTTATCAAAACTGAACATCGGTGTTAGAAAACAACAATGATATTTTGCAATAATTTACAAAGAAATAAATACAGTGAAATCTTTCGAAATGAATTAAGAAACAGAACCAATATTTTTTATTAACTGATTGAAAGAAAACAAATTGTTTGTTATATAAATTTGTAATCTATTTCTTTGTTGATAAAGAGCCAGCTTTTGTAAACATGTATATAAAATATGTATAAGATAAGATAATTAAATGGTATTCTTTATGTTATAAATCAAACCTCATTTCAGTTAATAATAAATAAATAATAATATTTAAATTTTATTGAATTGAAAAACAATAACATGTGACATTGTCATTTTTTTTAATGTGTTCGTATTTTGATTTATAACATCAAACCTCATTTCAGTTAATAATAAATAAATAATAATATTTAAATTTTATTGAATTGAAAAACAATAACATGTGACATTGTCAATAAAATTTAAATATTATTATTTATTTATTATTAACTGAAATGAGGTTTGATTTATAACACTTTATATCAAAATGTAGATGTTTTTGTAATATAAATTAATTTAAACTGATAATGATATTATCAAATATCAAACAATGCATTGGTCTTGCGTGAGGTCATGATTGATGATTGATTTTGTTAACATTGATGTTAAGACATTGATATTTTTGCTTTCAACATCGTTGATTATCAAAAATCGATGTTCATCGACCGTCCCTATTTTGAAATATAAAATTAGAAAGAGTTTAGTTAGAATCTCTTTCACGAAAGAAGTCCCACGGCATAACTTTTATTCCTTGGTAATAAAAGTGAAAACATTGTGGTCCGAGGGACTTCTTTCGTGAAACGAAATTTAGTTTAGCATAAGTAATCACCAAAGAGCGCTGAAGTTGTCAGATTTATTTTTAACTTCCTTGGAAAATGCAAGCAAAGAAAAACTATTTGTTCCGTTACTTCAGTTACGAGTGCAACCGGTGACGTCTAGTGTAATATAATTGAACTTTATATACAAGATCATCTAACTAGTACATCTTGAGCACGTTAGATGATTCTAAGGATATATTGATTAGCGATGAGTCGCTATCCATTTTTTAAATCACGTAACGCAAATGCTATCAGATCGTCAATCACTGATATCAAAACTGTCTATTTTTGATAATTAGTTATTTCCACAACGCTAAAGTGAAACCGAATGTTACTCTTATGCTAAAGCGATAAAGCTCAATTTTGGGTTGGTTACTTGATCACTCCTGTGGCACATCTGTTTTACCACTCTGTGGAAACGTAATCTATGATATTTTGTATTTTGTAAGTGGCACTTCAACATCAAATAGTCTGAAAGTAAACTCATAACTGTGAACACGTTTATTTATTTTACCGATCCTTCGTAATAGAGTCAGATAGTAAACTTATCAATAAGTTAAAATCAACCTATATACTAATAAATAAAACACATAATATTTCGGTAAAGTGGTGACCCAATACAATAATCGTTAAACTCTGAAAGCCGAATAATGTGAGCGTACTAGCATATACCAATTTCATTCACACGTATACCGACATCCTGTTTTTGTTTCATTCACACGTGAGAGATTGTATTGTTTGCGATGCACATTATTTAAACGCTCTATATAACGCGTTACATTCTATGCGGTTATTGAAATTGCATTACATGACCGTCAATGTAAAGCGTTAATCTATAAATATGCCTACGTATCGTTCTGAACTATGATCGCCGCTTTTTGGTGATCGCGGTTATTGTAAAGCGAGTCGCCCAAAAATCAACCTTAAGGGATTTATCTAAGAGTGAATTCAGCTTTACTTTAAAGCGTTGTGAAAAATAGATAGTTATTGTATAACTGAATCACGAGTGATTGCGGTTCAGGCAAATCACTAGTTGGATAACTGTCTATCGCGAATAACGTCCATCGCTAATATTGATATTTTATTAATAAACATCGATGTTTGGCTAGAAAATATCGATGCTGATGTGCTGTGTTATGGAAGTTGCAATATCGATGTTTATTGAACATAGATGAATATCGACATCCCTACTGTTATGGCATGTCAATGTCATTGAAGCAATTCCTATCGTAAGATTTGTTGTTTCTCATTCCTGTGAGTGAGTCATCTATAAATGAAATACCAAGATTAATTAATTTTTTTACGTGGTGCTCCTTGTAATTTTATACATTCTTGTCTTTAATTAGGCTTCTAGCCTTCGTGTTTTGTGTAGAAGTTTTTAAAAGCCGTCAAACTGGGGAACGAAATGTCATCATCTGCTATGGAGAGTATCCTTTTCAAAATATTCCATTATAACAATATTTTAGGAAATCAAATGAGTTTCTAAAGCATATTAATTAAGATAAATGATAATAAATAACTTCATATTAATATATGATGTAGTAATATGAATGGTTACATATAGTGCATAACATGCAAAGTTCGTGTAACTCTTACTATATTTATAATTAGAAATTTGTTTTAGCTAAACAATTAAAAGTTATTCTTAATTGTGATTATTCAGTATTCATCCTTTACTTTACCTACCAGAACATCTGTTTAATTTAAAATTTGCTGTAAAAGAATTAGAAAGAAATTCAAAGAAATGTGAAAAAGAAGAAAAATTGGAAAAAGAAAAGGCAAAGAAAGCTATTCAAAAGGGTAACTTAGAAGGGGCTCGGATACATGCAGAGAATGCTATCAGACAGAAGAATCAAGCATTAAACTATCTTAGAATGTCAGCAAGAGTTGATGCAGTGTCCAGTAGGGTTCAAACTGCTCTCACAACTAGAAAAGTGAGCTTTTTCATTATTTATAAGATTCTTTGACTTCGACCGCACGGTCTAGTTTTAAGTCCAGAAATAAGAAAACTTCATAAAAACTCATCCCCTAATTTACCCTCTTAGGGGTTAAATTTTGTAAATCCCATCTTAGTGAGCACCTACCTTCTAAATGAACTTGCATGCTAAATTTGATACTCCTAGTACTTGTAGTAACAAAGTTTCATACAAACTTTCATCTCCTAATTTCTAAAGATTGGATCATTTGCATCTGAATCAGTGCAAGATCCAGATCAATTAATGCTTCATTTGGATCATCAGTTCTCAGATGGATACAAGAACAGAGCACAAGTATTTAATCATGTTACGAATATATTTAAAAATTATCTACTGCTTTTCATTGACCTTTGTCATGGATTGTTTGTTTTAAAAATATAATAAAATTATTCTCATTTTAAGATAAAACAAAATAACACCTTTTATTTTTTAAATTAAGAAGTTTCAAAATACCAACTGAATTGATTCTCCTTCATACTTTGTTCAGGCTTAGGACTGACAAAATACATTACAACTATTATTTATACTATATAAAAACAACTATTTATACAAATTTTGCATTCTCAATTTAGTAAATAAATAAATATAGCTGCTGGCTGACTGACAAGTGTGCTCATTTGCTACCAACATGCAACTCAATGTCTCCCGAAACTTATATCATAATATTAATTGATTTTCAAATGTATCTTATATGGTATGGTATTTAGGTGACCAACTCGATGGCAGGAGTGGTCAAAGCCATGGATGCTGCTATGAAGTCAATGAATCTAGAGAAAATCTCCACACTCATGGACAAATTTGAAAGCCAATTCGAAGATCTGGATGTTCAGTCATCATATATGGAGAATGCAATGTCACAAACAACTACAACAACAGTGCCTCAAGGAGATGTAGACCAGCTGCTGCAACAAGTGGCAGACGAAGCTGGGTATGTTATTGTAAAAAATGTCATATTGTATAGTAAGAGTAAATTGAAGAGTCCAATTTTCCACTATTTTATTTTATCTATATATATTATTTTTATTATTTTATTGTATTGTTGTTTTAAAGACTCAATCAATCTATTCCTCATGTATGTGTATGCTAGTTAAATTGTTTTGTGCAATACTGTAGGCTTTTAACACAGCATCAGGTTAGATTGTGATAGTTTGTAAAATTTTCGCAATTAAATTTGACTCTATTATCAATGCATTAAGGTTTTAAATCATTTGGCAGATTTTTATAAACTTTTCTTATGTATAGTCAACAACAGTGTGGTGTGGTGAGCCTGCTGGCCTGAATTACAGGCAGTTAAAATGCTTAGCTTGGGCAGCAGTCTCCCACAAACATATTGTTAAAACAAATTAGAAAAAATCTGTGAACGTATATTAATTTTGTGTATTTTGTGGAAGAAGTGGAATAAAATAAAATAAAATAAAAAACACGTCAAACCATACAAAACTGACAAATTTTCCCACTCGATTTTGAACCTTAATATATTAGTAAAAGTCAAATTCCATTGCAAAAAGAGATATTGTGGTAACCTGACGTGCAGCCGTGTGTACATGTTCACATATGAATTGCAGATTAGAGTTGAATATGGAGTTACCATCAGGAGTACCAAGCACTTCAGTTGGAACTGCGACGGTGGTGTCGCAAGAGCAGGACGAACTGACGCAACGATTGGCGCGACTGCGGCAGGCTGAATAGCCGCCGTATGCTTATTGTACGATGTATTACTTTAAAATTGTAAATATTCGCAAATTTTAACAGAAATGGTGAATATGATACCAAATAGTACTAACCATTGTCTCATTACATCCAATAAAATCTGTCAGTATTTTTCCATAGCTACAACCTTTAATCGTATTTTACTTTGGGCCGGGAATCGCATTTTGATTATAAAAATAACAGTGAAATTTTTTTTATCGCACAGAAGAGCGGGCGTGACAGAAAAATAAATAGGTTTGAGCAATATAATTTTTTTGTTATTGGATTTTAGACGGATGTTCAGTGCCGGATTAGCCACGTAGCAAAATAGACCCCGCGCTAAAGAAAGCTCGCTAAAGCCAATAAATTAATTTTTCCGTCAGCGATAAAAATGCTAGAAATAAAATAAGCTACTACTCATATTTTTAAGTAAAAACATAATTCGACGCACTAAACGGTAGCGTCTATATCATAACGAAACGGATTCCAAAGTAGCAAGTTTCAAATCAAGTGTGGATTTCCGATCATAATTCACATTCTGTTTGCGGAGTTTGTAATATTTAAAGTGCAAAACAATCACATTAGTCACTTTGTAAAACTGTGTATACAATATGGACGTTTATAAAGTGTATTATATATAATTATATACTCTTTATTTTCTGAATTTCGCCAAGGCGGGAACATTATTGTGTCATGTCATGTTCTGCGTGATATAACTATATAATTTCATTTAGTTTGGTTAGCGAGACAAATATATTCGTTTCATTCTAATGTATGAAACATCACGCGACAACATTAACGATACGACACATAAATGTGTTTCCACCTTTACTTTCCTCCGAGGCTTTGTGAGCTATTACTGTATTCTTGCTATAGCTTATGTTAGTTGAGATACTATATAGCTTATGTTGATTAATAAATATCATTTACATTCCTTTTAAACAAGAATATAAATAGTACTTATAACGGTTACAAATAAAATGCCTCCAAAAAAAGGATATAATTTTTCAGTTATTATAGTACCTCATCTGACAGAATTATGATATATTTGTTAAGTTTTGAATCGTTTCTAGATGTGATAATGCTCTTGAATAAGTTTACGATGATTCAGGTAATTGGTTTAAACAATGCTTTAAGAAAAATTGTTAAGAGAATTATTTTTTATAATTAATTAGTAAATGTATTTCCTGTCATTAATATATGCAAAATAATATTTTAAGAATGTTCTACAGTTAGACAATACATAAGCGATTTGTTATGTGGAATATTGTCAATATTAGGTTAAAAAGAAGATAAAACTTGTATGATAGAAACAATATATAATGAACCTTATTAAAACAGACGTTTGCTATTTTTTCTACAAATATAAATGAGAGGGAAACATCGAGTCAAAATGCAATGTTAAATAGTATGTTTATATAGAAAACAAACTTATGACATCTCTTATAATAATTGTTGAGATAACATTTCGCAATCTGAGATTATTGTATTTTTTTTTTATCTACAAACTATGATGGTTCTGGAATTTAAAAAACAAAGTTTAACTCTGTTATATTCCATTTGTGTTGTGATTAACAAGCGATTCATCATGTGAAATTATCAAAATATAATTCGTTTCTGCAAAGAAAAACATAACACGAAACAATGTTGTGCCCATGAGATAGATAGTGAAATAGTATGAGTGCACATGACAAAATAACCGGCGTGCAGTTAAGAAGTCGCAGCCCAAATTTTACAATACACAACATTTCCGTTGTCTGCACGCGGCTTAAGGTCTATCATTTTAAATACTAAGGTAAATCAATAAAGTCCGTGCTAATTGAAATCCAATCTAGAAGTATTAATCAATACTGTAATTATAATGATATGCCTGCAGTTTTTGTACAATATCGTGATATATTTATGAATAACACAACATTTGTTTTATTAATTTTAATTTCTCTTCAATGAAACGATTTTTTTCCGTTAATATTCAAACAAAAGAAAAGACTATTATTATTTTTCAAATATAACAAAAATCACACACTAGATCTACTATACTGGATATTTACTTTCAAGTACCTATGGAATTTATTTTATATGCCAAGTTACTGAGGCGTTGAAAAGTAATAGGCAAATATCCAATACACCTATGAAATAAACATTAATATTGTAGTAAATTCCCTTACAAATGCCATAAAACAAACTAGAAACGTCAACATATAACAAAATAGTCTCTGTATAACAAACATTTAAAATGTTTCAAAAATAATGTGACCTATAATGAAAAAGAATACACTTAAATAATGCCGTCTGACGCAAAAAAATACTGATAGTAAAAAGCAAGCTAAGAAATACATTTTACAAATTGTAAAAAAATCTCTTACTATACTACACATCCCTCTATATAAGGAACTTTCCTTGAGGTATTATTAAAAAATCATATATCTAGAAAAATGGCATTAATTAATACAAAATAATGACTTAGTAGAACTAGAAATACTTGTAAGGAACGATAGTGATTCTTTGGTATCCGTGTGTTAAGCATCTCCGTTGCCTGCATTGTCAAAAGATATTTGGTAAAAGATCCAGTCTTCCAGGAAAGACGGCACAAAAGCTTTGCTTTTAGTGAATTTCACGGGAGGTTTGAGCTTCGCCAACTCTTGTTCGTAAAGTTCTAAAGACTCGGGGGATGTAGCACCATTTCCCTGTGGTATTAAAAAAAACATAATTAACTTCCACAAAAAAAGAGGAGTAAATGCTTATAATGATCACGAATGTTATAAGATTATATGAAAGTTTTGAGTAGTAAGGCTTTCGATAACATATAAGCCTTAAATCTTTGGTCAACAATTCAACTAGATAACGCCTCGGATACTAAGCGAATACTCAAATACGGCACTATACACTGCGACAACTAAGAAACATAAATACCACAGAGTATATTCAGTGATAATATTCCAGGCAACAACTCAGCTCCGGAACTGGGCAAGTATTGAGTCGCGTTGTCAATTTTATTTTATTAAAATCACGGGGTCCCATCGCTAGGTAAAAAATACTTGTTCTTAAAAACCACAACAGATGGCGTTACATGTGTCCTCTCTCAAGTAAGACAAAATGCTTGAATTAGGACGGTCACATTTTGTTCTATGGGGTGAGGCATCTGTACGAATAATTATAGAAGTTGATAATAAAGGAGCCGACAGATATTTGATAAAAAATTAAATATTGTGTGGTTAAATTTTTGATAAAGTTTAAAGACTTTGCTGAATATTAATGAAAAATAATAATTATTTATTTTTTTAAATCAATCAACAAAAATATAATTTTCCAACATTTGTATTCTGTCTTTCGCCAAACGAAATACCGATCAGAGACATGACGTCATTAGTGGGTAAATTCATGTTCATGCACACAGTTTTGTAATCGAGAACGGGAACCACTACACCAAGATGGTTTTCAATTAGTGTTGATAATAGTGGTAAAAAAAAAAATTGTAGTCGTACACTACTCCATGTATGTGCTGCCTTAGAACAACGAATATTTGGTCAAATGTTTGCCATATTGACGCGTGGGTTGGCTCAGAAACAACTCTGTCATTTTAAATAAAATATGATATTTCAACAGATACATTTTTATTCCGATAGTTATTTTTGCAGTTTTAATGCGCTGTGGCATTATAACACGTCCGAACGCTGGCGCAGTCGTATACAAACAAAATAAGACCTCACTTTGAAGTGAGGCGGGTATTTCTTCGGCTATATTTCAGACTTTGACCGGGCATCTAGTTGTATTGTTGATTTAAACCTTAAATAAGATTCTATATAAAATCACATAATAGGTTTAAAAATTCATTGTACAGCCAATATCATGTCAGGCTATATAACTGTAAAGTTTCTCCACTCGATTTTAAACCTTAATGCATTGTAGGTAGAGTTTCAAATCACTTGAGGATATTTGACTTAATGTGGTAACATGACATGCAGTCGTGTGTATTATAGCATAAATGAATTGATTAATGAAGAGGGTTTTGAAGCGACACCATATCATTTTCGTATACTGAAATTCGCAATGAAAAATTTAAGGGAAGTTAATAATTACATGAGTCATGAATTTTCCATCTGACTTTAGTATCTTGAAAGCTGACTGCAGAATAGTAATCATAAACTCCCAGAGTTCCCCACAAGCAGAATCCGAGATGGGTATGTCAGTCAGATCCCCGAATATATAGTCCACTTTCTTATTTTCCTTTATGAATTTATTCACGGTAAGCATACAGTCTTCAACGATAATCTGGAATTTGAAATATAAATATGGGATAACTTATTTAGTAAGTGCTGAAAAGGAAGTTTACTTGGTCGCCATCTGCGAAGTCCTCGATTCGTTTTCAGTTACATATTTTCTAAAACACGCGTGGTGGGGTATCATATAGTTTTTTAATAAAACATATTCGAGCTCAGCTGACTGTCTATTAATTGGGATTTGATGTTCTTTACATAAAGATAAGATTATAGAACATATTAACACTACTAATGAAGAAATATAATCGTTAATATCGACCGTTGCTAACGGTACTCCGAGGGTGTGTCCTGTCGTGAGGTGCGGTACGGTGAAGGGGGAGAGGGAGGGGTGGGAGCGGCTAACTCAAAGCGAACAGTCAGTAATATGTAAGTTATTCAAATACGCGATTTTGGGCATGTTAAACTGACTGTAAATGTATTTCAGAATTTAATTTTATAAAATTCGGTGGCAAATAAAGAAATTAACAAACTATTTCATATTTTGACATATCGCACGCTAAGAATGATAGTGAATAAATGCAAAAAAAAAATAGATTTTCAGTAATGAGCGTTTAAAGTTCAAGAAATTGTAATCCGCCTCCTCTAAACAACGTATCGTCACTACTCCACATAGCAGTTTCTATACAAACTACGTTCACAGGAATCTTTGCATTTCAAAGTTTATACTTAATAAAGAAAAATGTCACCAAAAGTAAAAAAATAAGCTCGTTTTTGGCTAGTAACATTGTCATTCTCAGCGTGCGATATAAAATAAAAAGCTTCAAGGCAATTTTAAAATTGAAAATTCATAGAGTACTTCTCGGTGCTTATTATCCTCTGCGGTCTCGTATAGCTACATTAATAGAATAAAGTGCCTAAATTACTTCATAATTGGGTCCCTTTCGTCTCTCCAGCACGTCCCCACAGATAGTGCGCAAGTATTTGTTACAGACGGTCATCACCATCTCATCAATCTCCAACATCCATATGAACTTGGGCTTCTCTTTCAGTAGTTCATATAAAAGAGCACCGTCACCGCCACCTACAGGTTCAGAAAATCAATGAACTCATTACTTTAACTTTATTAGTGCAGTAATCAAAGTTATGAAGTGTTACTGTTTCATTATTTTGATTGCCAAGAGATAGTGATGGATCTTCACCATGGCGTTCTGATTTATTGATGTATATTTTTAAAATTTTCGTCATATTTTTAGCTCATCGTATTCTTCGTGTGGATTTGATGACTCAAAAATAGCAGAACATTTTCCGAATTTTATTTACTTTTATTACTGGCGTTGCGTATTTTTCAATTAATTTGAAAAGTCTTAGTGGATTCTCTCAATTCAAATATTAGTACATTAATTTATATTACTTTATAATAAGATATATTACTTTATAAACTCAATAAGGTCTTGCGCACCGTTAAGGGGCTATTAGAAATGAATCTGTAACTGACCTAATATAACAATTTCTTTTCCTTCATAATTCTCCTTGCCTCTTTGCATTAGAGTTTCGGTGTAGACTAAATCTGCTTCAGATATATCTGTAACAAGATCGATATTTTATATAGCAAAGGTTGTTAGCGAAGACTTCTATGTATACTAATCTTCTATGTTATATGTATATTGGCTCTTCTGAAATAAAATTGGGATACAGTTGGCGTCACAACTGTCCCGAAATTCCGACAAAAGGCATTAGATTTTAAAATCTCCCGGCTCCGGGAACAGCTTAAATCTCCCGGACTTGCGATTGATATCTGATATTCGAATAAGTGATCCAAATAGGATGACAAAAAAATTTGAAACGACTTCAAATTTAAAAAAAAGATAAATAATTATAATAAAAAAGCGACTTATTGAAGATGATAGATGTGTTGTTTATTTCAATAAGTTGTGTTAATCTTTTTTTTAATGTTAATAATACACTGGCATATTAATATAAAATTGGTACATTCGTTCTATCAATTCTTGCCGCCGCGCCGTCAGAATGTGTTTTGGCATAGCAAATAAGCTTAGAAAGAAGTGAGTAAATTAATGAAAATCTCATATTTTTGAGTGTAAATCAGTCATTGGTATTTGAAAAAAAAAAAAACAAAAAAAATGTTTTAATTTGATTACAAATCCAATTTGCTGTTTGGCCACATTCCGTGCAGGCAAGTGTAGTATACGTAGGAGTATTTGGTTTTTACGTTTAGAATTTGTTGTTATTAACTTACTTTGCAAATCATCAAGTACCAACATGTTGCCCATAGTTTTAGAGTGGACGATTTGCACTCGTTGGAACGGCGACTGTTCATCAAATACTACGTTATCGATATCATATTCGAGTAGTCTTTCATCTGAAAAATAATCACTTTTTATTATAGTAGCCGCATCTGTCTATACATACTAACTAATATTACAATACAACTATTATTTCTATGTAACAACAGTAGTTGATTAAATAATTTATTGATACATTTTCGATATCATATATAAACACCAAGATCTCGGTATTGCGAGATTCCGCGCCATTTTCTAATCGTTAGTCTCTCAGATCCCTTTATAAATATTTATAAAAAGAATAAGACTACGAATGCACGAATGTGGAAATATCACCGGAAATACCGAAATCTCGCGTGACTGAAAATCTACAGTCCATTAATACCGATATCGTGAATAGGCGAGGATTGTAATTTTTTGCTGTCCTGTGGATTTAGGGAAAGCCCTAAATCAACTAGACAGCAAAAAAAAAAGAAAAAAATGGTAAATCTCAAAGTGTTAATTTACATGCTATGCACTTACCCGATGATGGATAATACCTGCCAAACAGGCATCTTTTAAGAGGCGCGTAAGTTTGTGATTTTATGAATGTGATGTATTTTTTCAGCTGACTTTCCAATACTCTGGCTGACTATTAACAAAATATTTTTGAAAGGAAAGAAAAAGACAAAATTAATTAATGCAGATATAACTAAATGTGCAGACTTAAATTAGGCTCATCACAAACTCTTTTAATTAATAAAATATGTAATTAAATGAAAAAAATAAAATATAAAACTTATAGCAGGGCTGCCTGATTGTATATCTACTACATACATAGAAATATTTAGAAACTACAATAACGATAGTAGAGTGGTAGGTAGTATATTTGTCATTGTCACATTACTGTCAAACATGCATACATATTTTAAATTTATTTATTTATTACAAGTTATTATTTTTCTCTATTATTGTTGAATTATATAATAAGATTTTAATTTGTATAATTTGGAATACTGTAATAAATTTGCTCTAGTGGCAGCCCTACTTTGTTGTTTTGTTGTTTCGGCAGGGTAAACAGAAATATAAGAAGACAATAACTCCACTAATATGTTAACGAAACAATGCTTAAAAGAAATGGTAGGTGTTCAACAGAATACACTAAGAGTTAGTGTAAATATGCCAAAGCTATTGAATATTATAAATTTTAAGGTTGAGTGTCTTCTCTGTTACTGGAAGATTCTGAACAAAATATGATAATAATATACATAACTGTTATGACAGTTGCAAGGCTAATTGGTTCAATTTTTTGGTGATACTAGTTACATGTACATATTTGATATCTGCAAATGTTGCTATTCTTATATAAGACCTACTATTCTGTGTCTGTACTATGGCCTTAAATGACTCTTAAAGCAACAAGTTTTTGAACTTTATATAATCTATAAATAAAAATAATACAAGTATGTGTAACGTTATGTACATAAGTGTTGTAAAAAAGACAGGTATGCTTGAAAAATAATATTTTATGCTACCTATAAATAATTGGATATTTTTTATATTAGTTCATATGCACTGCCGAATATGTGTCAATTTTAAAATTTGAGTTTACAGTTATAACAGAAGTGGCAAAATGAAATATTTTGACTAAATTAAATAAGATTGCAGGAGGTAAGAGGGTCATATTTACAATTTGCCAACAATGTTTAAATTACTCTACAAACATTAATAAAATTATGTACTTGTATTTTTTAGAATCACTAAATATATAAATTATAAATATACCCATTCATATTTTGAAAACATTTACTTAATAATTATATAGATATATAAATCATAGTGGAATTTTGTAAACAATGTATTTTTATTGCAATGATGATATTTAAGTGATTTTATTATGAAAAAAAGCATATACATCTAATACTTTATTAAAACATATTTATACTATTATTACTCATTTAATATAAAATAATGCAGGTGACGTTAAAGATTAATCAAACTGATTAAGTTTGGGCAAACCTGAACTAGTCAAATACACATCAAATTTATAGCCTTGTTTGATTGTTGGTAAGAGTTTTATTCAATCACACTTCAATGACATATTTACTGAACTTTGTAGTAGTTCACAGTTCTACAAAAGATGTTAAGCTCAACTTTATCATCAAACTATGTAACATTAAATTCTTTTGACGTGCATAGTATCCCAGCTCTACTAAACATGGTAGATTCAAATAGTAATTTTTAAATTTATAAAAATCGTTCTTGACCAACCAGTAATAAGGTTAATTATTACATAAACAAAATAAAGCGTCTATACATACATCTTTTTTTTCTTAACCTAGTATTGTTAATGTTATAATTTGATCAATTGACTATGATGCAATGTCAATGATAGCTATTTATTCAATATAAGGTTTACCTTGAAACTTATTAGTGCTTCTTCACTGTCTTCCTTGTAGTATTCAATGTTAACAGTTACAAGACCTCGGTCAAACAATCTTACAGAGACAGTGGTACCTTTCTTTCCTGTCATGAGTTTCAGAGATCCTCCATCTACTTTGATATCAGCGGCAAGAAGGAGATTCGGAATGTACTCTTTTATTACAGTTTCTAATTGACTGAATACTGCTTTCTGGCCACTTTCGTCTCCTAGCCGGGCAGGATCAATAGAAAAGTCCAAAAGCAAGGTCTGTACCGACATCTTTGTAAACAGTAAATTGTACTTTTGTTTCTATTTGCTTATTGGTTTTAGTATGGACGGGACCGGTAGTAGAACACCTGTTTTATGATGGGTAGCGGAAAAAGTTAGGTAATGGAGTAGCTTTTGTCAATTTTGACATGATTCAAATCAGTGTTGCCGCTGAACATATTAGGTCCTTACAATGAAATGAGGAAGTATTGAAAAAAAAAACATTAGTTCCCGAAATCTACCTAGATATCGTAACAGTACGTTCTTGATTTCTCCATGACAACGCTTCCGGTTTTCTTTCATTTTTAAAAGTAAATTAGTTTTAAAAACTCAATAAACTACTCATATTCTATTTGTACTTTTTCGTATTTGTATTGATATCTAAGTTTAGAACTTTTCCAATTTCAGTTTATTAATAATACCGCAGCCTGCAGCTAACTCGGACGTGGTTTGCGATGGATCCGCTTCCACAATAGACTTGAATTCTTCATTATTAACTTGGATCTCCGGCCGCCCACGGGGCTTGTTCTGCTGGTCGAAATTTCTAAAACGAAAACGTTGAACCAAAAACGCAGTGTGTTTTCTTTTGCGACATAACCGCCATACACATCATTAACCCTTCGAGCCGTTTCCACAGCACTGGTACCACGGTAGAACTCGTACTCGTAAATAACACGATATTTTAAGTTTTTCGTTTTTATACTGGTTGACGTAAATAGGACAAACAGAAGAAAGAAAAAAGCAAATGAATACCGCCTAACGAAACATAAATACATGTATAAATGGATGTATAAATTTGAATTTGGTATTCCCAACCAAGGAGGGTAAAATTGATGATTAAACGAACTTACCTTAAGTGATGTTCTATCATAATTATACGATGGCTTCGTCTGAAGAGATTAGAATACTTGTAGTAGCGCGTACCGTGTGGCCATTCATACACTATAGTTGAGAAACACATAAATAAAGGAAAAATGAAATACATTTTTTAATTTCTACTTTTCTATTGGCAACACTGGTCGTCGCCATTTGTCATTTAGTTCAGAACCTTTATTTATTTTTTATTTTTTTTTATAAATTTTTCTTTGGGTTAAGGGAGGGGGGGAGCTAATCTCTTCAGACGAAGCCATCGTATAATTATGATAGAACATCACTTAAGGTAAGTTCGTTTAATCATCAATTATACTTTGCTTCGTCTTCGAGATTAGAATACTTGTAGATCTTTAGAGACATGGAATTTATATAAAAAAAAAAATCATTTATTAATATTGTTTATGTAATCTAAACATATTTATTAATACTATAATTTTTATAAACATATAAAGCTAACATTTCATAAAAAATGCTATATTAGCAATCTTATAAAAATCACATCGTACTTATTAACTCTTTACTTAGAATCTTGATTTAGAATAGACATAGCGAAATCATTATTATCATCTGTAATCACAGTTTTGTGGTAGAAACGAGCAAATACACAGGATGTATCTGACCATCCTGCTGTCCTACGGATGAGATCAAGATTAATTCCTTGTCTATAAGCGGAAGATGTTGAAGCATGTCTTGTTGAGTGAGCAGTAAATATGCTAGTATCTATGCCACTTTTAAATAAGATTTCCTTGATCCATCTACTGATGGATTGAGAACAAATTGGTTTATGAGGGTGTTTAAAACTAATAAATAAATTATCACTATTTCTAATATTACTGGTTTTTTCTAAATACATGGATAATGCGTCTGCTGGACAGATCTGCTTTTTTTCTTTTAGAAATGGAATTGTCAGACAGGGTTGGAGTGATCCAGCTCGTGACGTTTTTATTAAATCGGGTATTTTAATAATGACTTTTTCGTTATTAATATATTGAATATTCTGTATTTTAATTTTACTTAATGTTTGCACTCTATGTGCAGTAACAAGTGCTAGTAGAGTAACTACTTTTTTGGACAAATTTTCTAAACTAATACTATCATTAGGATACCAGGATTCTAGAAATTTTAATACAATAGAAGGGTTCCAAGTAACATTATATTTTGGTAACGGCGGACGAAGGCGGTAAAATCCCTTAAACAATCTTGTGATTCTGTCATCAGCCCCTATTTTACTACTTATGATCAAGGATAAAGCAGATCTGTAACTGTTTAATGTGCTATATTGTGCTCCGGTGTGGTAAATTTTTGTCAAAAATGAAATTACATGGGGAACTGACGCTTCATATAAATTAATATTATGATTATTACAATAATCCGACCATTTTTTAAAAACTACTCCATATTGCTTAATTGAGTTGTCCGATATTGAAGCGCACATAATATCTAATGCACTTGCTGGGATACCTCTTCGTGATAATGCTGTGCGGATAATTTCGCGGCTACCAGCATAACTTTGTGTTGTAAGTGTCTGTTGGGAACAGAAGTCAAAACATTTGTATTTGTTCCAAGTATAATCATATGACTACATAACATTTTGAAGATAGGGAACCATGGTTGTGTGGGCCAAAAGGGAACCACAACTATGCCTTCTGCGTTGTCGGTAATAATTTTACGAACTACCTTTAATATTACTGATATAGGTGGAAAGGCATAAAAATATAAACTGTGCCAATTTAGGGTAAAAGAATTAACAGCAAAAGCACCAGGATCTCTGTGCCAAGATACATATGTTTTACATTTGTTATTTAATCTGGTTGCAAATAAATCTATGTTTGGTACTCCAAAATTTTTAACAATATTTTGGAAGGCTTGGTCAGTTAGTTCCCACTCAATGTCAGGATGTGAGCGTCGCGATTCCGCATCTGCCACTTCATTATCTTGTGAACTAATGTCAGATGCGTATACAAATATGTTTCTTTTTTCACACCATTCCCACAACTTTTTGGTAACATTGGTAAGATGTGGGAATCGCACGCCCCCCATTTTGTTTATGTATGAAATCGCAGTTGTATTGTCTATACGAAGAAGTATTTGACAATTACTTAAAGCATGAGCAAAAACTTGTAAGGCAAAAAAACTTGCTAATATTTCTAGATAATTAATATGCATATTCTTTTCATTATCACTCCATTTTCCATTAGCTTTCTCCTTACCGCATGCTGCCCCCCACCCTGTTTTGCTAGCATCAGAAAAGATTTCAATGCAATAGAAATCATCTCTAATTGGATTCGCCGAAGTATCAATGTGACTCAACCACCAATCAAAATCAGTTACTAAAGTATTAGGAATTATCATAAAACTATCATAGTTTTTTGTTTTTTCTAAAGCCAAATACTTACATCGTTCAATATGTTTGGTGTATAACCAACCATATTGAACACCGGGGCAGGCTGAGGTAAGGAGGCCTGCAAGTCGAGCAAACTGACGTATTGAACAACACTTCAATTTTTTAAATTTGGATATTTCTCGTTTTATCAGATATCTTTTTTCGTCCGTAAGGGCAATACTATAATGTTTTGTATCAATCATAAAACCCAAATATTTACATATAGTATTAGGCGTCAAATTACTTTTTTCATAATTTATAACGAAACCTAATGATTCCAATATTATTATTGTTTGAGTAACGTTTTGCTGGCAATTGCGGAACGAACTTGATATTAAACATAAATCGTCCAAATAAATTGATGATATATATCCCAATGATCTCAGTAACAATATAACCGGTTTCATTAGTTTTGTGAAAACTAATGGTGCTGTATTAAGTCCAAAGGGAAGGACATTAAATTCATATATTCTTTTATTAAATGTGAAACGTAAATATTTTTTATATACTTCATTTATATTAATTAAAAAATATGCGTCTTTTAAATCAATAGTACATAGAAATGAATTTTTAGAAACCAGTTTTAATGTCGTTCTAAGATCTTCCATTTTAAAGTGATCAGTTGTAATAAATTTATTTAGTGACTTTAAATTTAAAATAAAACGCTTCTTGCCATTCGGTTTTGGCACTAAAAAGATATCTGATATGTATTGCTTATCACAGGGACTACATTCAGAAACTGCACCTGACTCTAATAATTCGTTGATAACAGTTTGAAATTCATTAATTTCTTTAGCGGAATATTTTTTGGGTAAAAACTTGCAATGCTGTTGAGGAGTGGTATGAAAAGGTATTTTATAACCTTCTTTAATCCAAGAAAGAATATTTCTATCGTCGGTTATAAATTTCCATCTTTCATAAAATAAGGATAACCTACCGGCTGTGCGGTATACCTCATCTAACGGCGTATCTGTGTGCGCCCGCGTGAGCGCTGAGGCGGCATTGGCGGCGGCGGCGGAGGCGGCGGCAGCGGCGTTTGATATGCTATTGGATGCGGCGGAGGTAGTGAGGGGGTTTGGTATCTGCGAGGCTGTTGTGCAACTGCCGGTCTCCTCCCTGCTCCCGTTTGCCTCGCCGGTGGGAGAGGAGGTCTCATGTTTAAAGACCGAGCTTGACTAAATCTAGGTTGCAGAATGGTTGTCTTAGGTTGAGATGTATTTTTCATTTCCGCACCTGATTTGTAAATAGCTTTAGCTGCTTTTAAAGTGTCAGGCAATTTCTCGCCGAATAAATAGCTATCTATCTCAGTAGTGTATAATTGATCTTTTATATCTTTTTTTATAGTGGAAGTCACAAAACTTCTGCGGGACATAGATTCAACATACTGAGAGTCACATAAAATTCTGCCGGAATCTAGTAAAAGTTTTATAATATCGGTGTCTTTATTCTGACTAGTGAATATTTTAGTTAATGCGTGACCAATGCAAGTTATAGCAATAGCTAACTGATTTTGTTTAATTTCAATAGCTTTGTCCTTTTTGATCAATGTATCCGACAAAGCAGCTTTTATTTCTGCATTTAATCGAGGAGGACCAATTTTTTGGCAATTTTCTGATAAAAAATATTTTTCGAACAGTTCTTTTTTGACATCCTTTTGTAGTTTTTGACATACTACCTGCAGTAGCAATATGTTCCCAACGAACAGCGAGTTCGTTTTGTATTGGTAAACTATACTTTTTATTCTTTGAAGGGGTTTCACCCAAAAGTTCGAGAATATTATCGTCTAACATAGTTTCAGGTTCGATTTGGTCGACTGAGATTGAAGGTATTTCGGAAATATTTGATTCAATAATTTGTGCTTCAGGTTCTATTAAGTGTAAAATAGAATCTTGCATATCTCTTGGAGATGATAAATTCACTACAGCATCGCTTACTGTCGTGGCTTCTTCCATAATGACTTTTTGTTGGTTGTCTAGAAGAGATAAGAAAAAAGTTTAAATAACTTATTTCGTTCCATTAATTATATAATTCTAAACCTGAATTTAAGTCATTTTTGTGAAGGTGCCATCCTTATTAGATGAACTCGACACATTTCATATAGGAATACAAAGGCGATAGTCTTATTAAACTACCCTCAATGTATATTATCGTGAAGGCTACACTCTCTTTGAAGTGTGCTCAACACATTTGAACCTGAATTATGATTAGATTATTCAATACACAAATCGAATATCTGAAGATTACGAAAAAATAATTTGCTACATACCTTCTTGTAATGACAATCCTGCATCGGAACTATTTGGAGATGAACTCATCAATCGTTTTTGGGAGCGTTTTCTCACTTTTTTTTCTAACTTTCTTATTTTTCTCATAATATAATCGTCACTGTCTTTATTTTTACGTTTAGGCATCTTATTTTCCTAATATACCACACAGAGATGTGTCGAACGGCCGGGCACTGAAACGCGAATGACAAATGGCGACGACCAGTGTTGCCAATAGAAAAGTAGAAATTAAAAAATGTATTTCATTTTTCTTTTATTTATGTGTTTCTCAACTATAGTGTATGAATGGCCACACGGTACGCGCTACTACAAGTATTCTAATCTCGAAGACGAAGCAAAGTATAATTTGTGATTAAATTGGCCAGTACGACAAAACTCCAATTTCATAATAATATGTAAGGACCTTATATATTTATAGTATCGTACAAGAGATAATATTTACCGTCTTTCAACAAAAATTGCCTTAATTTTTTTGTATAACTTTCATCCAGAGAATTTGGCTATATTCATATTAAATAGTCTCTTTTTTGAGGTTTTTTTATTACATAGTCTACAACTTTACTATAAAAAAATAATTTGTAACTAAACCAATCCGTTAAATTCGCGTTCTGATATCCAATGAATTATTAGTTTTCTTTTTTACATTATCTGTTCATTTAGAACACCGTTAAGTATTTTATTATAAACAAAACTGTAAAACGTTTGCATTTGAATGAGGAAGTACTTTAAGAAAAAAAGAGAGCATCTCACTAGATGGCGATAATCGTTCATAAAAAACATAATAATATTCTAAATGAAAAATGCTTAAATCCACCGGGCGCTAGGTACTTTAACATGAGAGTAACTAATGTTTTTTTTAATACTTCCTGATTAGGAAGTGATTTAATTATTTCTTACTAAGTCAACCAATTAATGAGGAAGTATTTAAAAAAAAGAAAGTACTAAAAGCACCTCACTAGATGGCGACTCTAGCAAAAGTTGATTTTTGCAGGAAACGAATGGACCAAAGATAGTTATTTCCATTCTTTTTAACTAAGATATTAAAAAGTAAATTTTGCAAAGTTCGAAACTTAGATATCAATACAATTACGAAAAAGTACAAATAGAATATGATTTGTTTATTGAGTTTTGAAAATTAATTTATATACATTAAACAAAACCGTAAGGGTTGTCATGGAGAAATCAACAAAGTACCGTAGCAATATAGTTTGATTTCGGGAACTAATGTTTTTTTAAATACTTCATCATTAATAAACATAAAATAATTCAAGTCTTTTTTAATATTAACAATAAGGAAGTATACAAATATCGTTAAAAAGGATGTAAAAAAAATGTTAGAATTCAATATTAATAATTAAGACAGGATAGCCTCTGTCGGGTCATCTAGATTTTTATAATCTCGGCAATATATGCATCTTTCGATAACGTTGACAGTAGCTATAGTGTAATTACATTAAAAATTACTTTATTTGCTGTTTATTATTATTATCTTTTTTATCATTATCTTTTAAATTAATGAGCTGTCTAACAAGTATTTATTTCTTATGTTATTTGTAGTTAACATATACTATTTAATAGATATTTTAATATAAATAAAATCTTGTTGATTATAAAGTTGAAGACGCTGATTTTCGACCGTTTGGAACACCTTTAAAAGGTGACCATTTGTTTTAGGCATGTTAAGGTTAAGGGTAACAAAGAGTATTTAAACATTTCGTTTTATAACTTGAGTTGAGGTAGCTGGCAACATTAAAATCCGCTGTCTATCAATTAGCCTTTTTGTAAAAAATTGACTAAGAGGAATCGTGTGCTATGGCTGGAAATAATACTGAAGAAGTAGAAGTGGGTAGAATCGATATTAATTAATCGTAAAATATTTGAACTACCTTAATTTTGCTTTATTATTAGGTATTCCCTGTAAATAACACATGATATGCTGATGTGGCTTGACTAACTTTCACTATAGTATTTGTTCGTGTTCACCGGTTATAATACTCTAATTTACTGTTTTTTATTTATCACATTTTTCATTACATATTAAAGTGTTATAATTTTACCGTCACGTAGTGTTGTCATTATTTCTTTTGAAAAATCTAGGTTAGGAATATAAAAAAAAATGATTTGTGCCTTTAAGGGGTCTACCGTAACTGAGACCAAGACTAACAGCAATGCCGAAGTTCCACCGGAGTTTTTAATCAAACATCCACTTCAAAACACATGGAGCCTCTGGTTTTATGACAATGACAGAAATAAAACTTGGGAAGAGAATCTTATTGAGTTGACTACATTCGATACTGTGGAAGATTTCTGGAGGTAAGTGTTGATAAGCTATATTTACTCTGAACACATTTTTCGTCATAATTGTATAATTCGTATTTATTTATTTCAGACTATACCATCACATTAAACTTCCATCAGAGCTGCGTCAAGGCCATGACTATGCTGTTTTCAAACAAGGAATTCGTCCTATGTGGGAAGACGATGCCAATAAAATGGGAGGAAGATGGCTTATCAGCCTTGAAAAGAAGCAACGAAATTCTGATCTCGATCGATTCTGGCTGGATGTGGTATGTTAATGGAATTGCCTAATAGGTGATTTTACACTAATTAAAAAAGTATATTCTATAGTGAATCTTGATTATGCAAACTCTCAATTGATGAATGATTAATCAGAGTATCCAAACTTTTAATAATTTTGGTCAATTATCAGAGCTTTTGTGAATTTGTAACTCATTGCTATTTTGCATTGGTAATGCATGCCAAACATTTAGCTTGCTCTAAAATTTTGATATATAGGTGTAACAATTTTACTATACTATGTGGTTTTTATGTAAAAACATATTGTAATTGTTCTATTTTGATTCAAAGCACTTGTATTTTTCAATTCATAAAGTCTATGTTAGAAATATCTGTTAGAAAAAGTGAATAAACTGAAACGTGTTATTTTGTATCTATAATCATACAATCTTGCAGGTATTGCTTTTGATAGGTGAAAATTTTGAGCATTCTGATGAAATATGTGGAGCTGTTGTAAATGTGAGAGCAAAGATTGATAAAATTGGTGAGTATACAATACTGTAACAGGAACTATTGTATACTACTGTAACTTTACAGCACATAATTTTAATTCATAATAACAATAATATTGGTCAAATACATACACAACTTTAACCACAATTAAATAGGTAAACTGAGTGATGGGATTAAGTATACTTGTCTCTTTGCAATCATAGAAAATGAGTTGAAGTTTTTACCAGAATCTGAAAATTCTGTTTTCTATTATAAAAGTAAAAAGCCTAGTTATTTGTTATATCTGATATGTCAAAAAAGGACTTGTACTGTATTACAACATCATATATATAGTTGATGTTCTTAATTTAAAGTAGCTTTTTAAAACATATTTGTATATGTCTTCTATTAAAGCAATGTTATTTAAAAAAAATATTGTTCATCACATTTTAAAGTAAAACTAGCACCATTTAGTTATAGCTATAGACTCTAAATATTTATAAATATAAACCATAAAATATTAATGAAAAATAGGTCTACACACTACTTTTTACTGCAATATTCCTGGAACAGAAGATCTGTGTACTATATGACAAAACAAGACAAAGGAACTATACTTATTTATTTGATACACTACTCTGCCTTCATAGCTTGGTACCTTTACACAGGCATGATAAAAATAAAATAATTATGACAGTAACAACTACATAACTGCTTTTTCGTAAACTTTCCTAATATTAATTATTATTTTTATAGATATATTACTGTAGTGCATAGAAGTTCTTTTCATAACATTAGTATTTTTTTAGGTATTTGGACAGCGGATACCTCAAAACAGCATGCTAACTTGGAAATTGGTAGGAAACTGAAGGAGCAGCTAGGAATTCATGGAAAAATTGGCTTCCAAGTACACAGGGACACCATGGTTAAGCATAGTTCGGCCACTAAAAATCTATACACTGTTTAGTCATTTGACATTGTCCTTGTTGTGTAACAAAGTGGTGTGATAACAATATTAGTGTAAATTAAGAGAGCAGGCTCATGAAATACATCCTCTACACCTATGCGGATATGAGACAGTCTGCTGTCTTTGTAAAGTTATCTCATAACAACTGTTACTTTAAAATTGAAGATTTTTATTTAACAGAAGTAGGTATTTTTTAGGTTGACTTTTCTATAGTTTGTTTCGTAATGATGTTTCTTGCTGATATGTCACTGTTGTAATGTTGTTACGAACATTAATTTAAGTCTGATTTTTGTACTAAAGCTATGCTTGAGTGTGTCAATGTAGACACTATAGATTAAGGTTGTCAAGCTGTTTGCGGCGTTTTTGGTGAATATTTGTGTTTCGTTTGTCAATGGAAATACAAACGATCATCAGAGCCTTATTTTTATTAAATAAAAATCTAAGTGTATCAATATCACACATTATTATAACCATGAAATAGTTTTTAATTTTTTATTAACATTGATGCATCTTGTATTACGTTCACGCTTTTCCTTTCCCATTGGGCTTAGTATCATATTGTCAATATTTTTTTTTTAAGATTCACACATAAGTATTGTTTGTATTTGTGTCAGATAGTAAAAAACTACATAATTATATATTTTGGTATTTTATATAAAAAGTACTAAAGTATTTTGCGTTTATTTTTTTACATGTTTTGTTTGTTGTAAGATGTGATAAACAAAGCATGTTTTCTCATATTCTGTTTTTCGAGCGTTAGTAATGTTTCAAATTTGTTTCTAATTGAGAATCTACCCTGGGATTGCATAGTGATTAAATGAATGTAATGTGGTATATCCTCTTGTCTACATTAAAATTGGTAATATCACGCATGCGTCAAATAGAACCTCTTTTTCTTAGTCTGTTAAAAATTGAGTATAAGAAAAGCAAAATATGCTATTTTGATAATCGCTACACGATTCGCGCTGAAATTGGGAAGTTTAAGCAAAAAAAGTCTGCTAAGAGTGAGTGAGACTCATTCAAATAGTATAATTTTTGTGCAGAACGGCACAGACGTTAAACATTTTGGAACTATTTCTGTACTTTTAGGCTCTAATCGTTTTGGAAAATGGGTGGGGAGGAGCGGAATGACCAGGGGACTAATTGTCTAACTCTAAAATCTTTCGGTTTGAAAGATGTTGCATAACCATTGCTTGTTTCTGAAGACAATTGAAAAAAAAGTATTTGTATTATGCAGCAATGGTTGTGCAACACCTTTCAAACTGAAAGCGATTGCAATAGATTTAAAATTAGACAATCAGGGGGCAGTTTCTATTGAAGGTCGGTGGGATGTGTACAATCCTTCGTATCTTAAAATGGTTATTTTCATAACCAATATCTATTAAGGCGAGTTGGTACGAAATTACCACCTTTTGATCAATTTTATTTTAAGGCTATACCAATATTTGCCAAGTAAAAATCTTTTTATGAAAATTAAACATATGATCGATGGATTGCTAAAAAAGAAACAAAAAAGTCATGTGTCTATGTTATGTGTAACTATTAGGAACGAAGAAATAATGGAAAATGTAGAAAAAACGGGAAAAATTATTCATCGTTGAGGGCTTCCGTTGCGTGCGCTGCGAAAAGGGTTCAAGATACCAAAAATATATATATGAAAAACTATGCCATGATAACAGCAATCCATACCCAAATAAACAGTTCCGGGCTTAGCTGCTAGGCGGGCGAAGCCGCAGGCGGAAAGCTAGTGTGTTTGTTAAAAGGAATGGAAATGACTATCTTTGGTCCATTAGTTTTCTGCAAAAATCAACTTTTGCTAGAGTCGCCATCTAGTGAGGTGCTTTTTAGTGTTTTCTTTTTTTTTTAAATACCTTCTCTGTTGGGGATGGAAACAACAGTTTGGAGATTTGAAGGCGTTTATTCTTTCTTCTTATTTGCAGTACAAAGTACGAAAACGTTCGTAGGCATGCTTTCATACAAATCGGGTTTACTGAAGTGGGATTTGTTCGTTCGCACTTAGCTACTATCCTAACGCGTTAATTGACCTAATAGATTCATGTTATGTCGGTGCCCCTTCCATTATGCGGCGGGGAGGTCGCGGGGGGGTGCTCCCGTCGCTGCTGCCCGTGGTGTGCCCCCTCCACTCGTTGCGGGGGTGAGGTTGCGGGGAAGGGTCTTCATGTCCGCCGTCCGTAACAGTTCTCCCCCCGGCGAAGAGACGCTCGAAGAGATGCTCGGAGCCCCTTTCGTCGGATCGGACGGCTCGCCAGGCTCAGGATCGCAGCGCGTCCCTCCCCGCTGGTCCGGGGGAGGTGCGGATAATGTGTCCAGTGTCTCGGTGGTCAGCACGATGAGCTTCCTCGTTGGTCGCCGAAACAGCCCACCTCTGGTGCGTACGTCGGCGCTTCGGATCTCGCCGTCGGGCCCGGGGAAGATGCGTTCGATTACTCCCCGGGGCCAGATGTTGCGCGGTGAGTTCGGGTCGGCGATGATGACGAGATCGCCTACTCGAAGTGCGGCTTCTTTTCTTGTTTCGCCCCTCGGTACCAGCGTCGGAAGATATTCCTTCATCCAGCACTGCCAGAAACTGTCGGCGAGCGCTTGGGTGGCCCGCCATTGGCGCCTGTCGCAGGGTCGACAGGGGCCGGTGAGTGGTAGACCTGATGATGTTCCTAGGAGGAAGTGATTCGGTGTGAGGGCTTCGGCGTCGGCCGGGCTGACCGATACGTGGGTCAACGGTCGTGAGTTCACCGCGTGTTCGGCTTCGGTCATCAGCGTATGGAGCACCTCTTCTTTCGGTGCCCTCTCGTGCAGCGTTGTGGCTAGAGCTGTCTTGACGGACCGCACTAGTCGCTCCCATGCTCCCCCCTGGTTGGGTGCGCCAGGGGGGATGAACTTCCATTCGACGCGCCGTTGCAGCAGGTAATCTTGTAGTCTGGGGGCCCATTCTCGTATGGCCGCTTGTAGTTCCTTGTCGGCGCCTTTGAAGTTCGTTGCGTTATCGCTCATTATAGTTTTCGGCCATCCACGCCGCGCTGCCATTCTTCTTATCGCCATTATCGCCGAGTCTGTGCTGAGGCTTGCCACAACTTCTAGATGTATCGCTCGGGTGGTTAGGCAAGTAAACAATGCGCCCCAGCGCTTCTCGTGGCGTCGTCCTACGGTGACGGTCATTGGCCCGTAGTAATCGAGGCCACAGCACGTGAAGGGCCTGAGGTGCGGGCTGAGTCGTTCGCGCGGTAAGTCCCCTGTAGATGGCGTTGTTGGCTTCGATCTTCTAACTCTGCACATCACGCATGCGCGGGTGGCGGTGCGAACCGACGGACGTAGGCGCAATATCCAGTAGCGTTGTCGTAATTCGTTGATGACACGCTCTCTGTTTGCGTGACCCGCCGCTTCGTGTTCTCTCACGATGATCTTCCGTGTGAACGGGTGCTTTCCGTCCAATATGATCGGCTTCTTCATTTCTTCTGGTACTGTCGCGGCGTTTATTCTTCCTCGTGCGCGCAGTACTCCGTTCATCAGCTCGGGGTCTAACTTGTATAGGCGGCTTGACTGTGGTATCTTCTTTCCTTGTTGGAGCAGTCGTATTTCGTCGCCGAAGGACTCTCGTTGCGCCCGTCGTAGCCACATATCTTCAGCTCGTGTCATGTGGCGTAGTTCCAACTGGCTGCCCTTTCGATGCCATTTTTCGATAGCCAATAGTACTAAGGCCGTGGCGCGGATGAGGCATTCGTATTTGCCGATTCGTTCTATATTCGGCATCGCTTCATTTTCGTTCGTAGAAGAGACGGTCGTGTGGGCCACTATTTCTTCGGAGATGGGTCCCTCTTCGTTGCTTCGTGTAGGCCATTCCTCCCTGTCGCGCAGCAGGAACTCCGGTCCGGATAGCCATCTCGCGGGGACGCGGTCGGCGTACTTCGTTCGTGTTGCGTCGTTGGCCACGTTTAATTCGGTGGATATCCATCGCCATTGATTCGGCTCCGTTCGTTCGGTGCCGTCGCATTGCTCCGCGTATGCTTTTTCGAAGAGGTTTTCGACTTGCGCTCTGTAAGCCGCGGCGAAGGACGGGTCGCGATCCATTTTTCTCTCTATGCCTTTCAGTCGTTTCAGAGCGTTGTCATAGCTGGGCGGCATCGTCACGTCGTCCGTACGCCATGGTAACCCCACCTCGTATCTTTTATTCGTGCGGCGCATTGTCTTCGTTACTATAGCCGCGGCGCGTTCGTCGTCGGGCTTTATTCGATTTTTCGTCGATACTCCAAGCGCGTCGATGTCATAGTGACTTCTTATAATTTCGTCGAGGCGTTCTTCGTCGACGTCGTTAGTGCACGGGCGAAGCGGCGCATCTTCTGTGATTCTCAGATGTGACACTATCTTGTGATTTTCCTTGGTCGTGGCTCGAGGCAGGTTTCCCAGTATCACCCAACCTAGGCTTGTTCTTGACGCGACGGGCTGCGATCTTCGTCCGGCGCGTAGCTCCCGGGAAATCACGAGGTGCCAGTGGTCCGCGCCGATGAGGATTCGTGGTCGTGCTCGATCGTAGCACACCTCTTCGGCGCTCAGCTTACGTAGATGCGGGTGCTTCAGGACGGCCTCTGGAATCGATTGTCCTCTTATACCGATTCGGTCGATCGTTCTGGCTTCTAAGTCGAAGAAGTTCGTGTTAGTGCCCCGTATTTGAAGTTTCACTCGTTTGCTTTCTTCATCCCTTATGACGTTCTGTATGCTGTGCAGGTGGATGGTCTGCGTGGGGCCGTCGGCGCGAAGTTCCTCCGCTAATCCTCTGTCTATTAGCGAAACCGTCGAGCCTTCGTCCAGTAACGCGTAGGTTCGTACTTCGCCGGCCGGTCCCTTGATCGATCCCTTGACGACCGGGCACACCTTCAGTAGGACTTCTTTCTTTTTCTCGGAGCCGACTGTGGTGGCGACGGTCTCGACGTCAGTCTTCTTTTCTTGACACTCCTCGGTGGTGTCGGCGGACGTCGATGCGGGTGCAGGTGCGGCCTCCGCGTGCAGCAGTCTATGATGGGGTCGGCGACACTCGTTCTGGCCGCACAGCTTTGCTCTGCACGATGTTCGTCGGTGGCGCGCGGCTATGCACTTGAAGCATATTTTCTCCTTTTTGACAAGCGCCCATCGGTCGTCCGTGTTCATCTTGATGAACTGCGGGCACTTGGGTAGCTCATGATCGCCCCGGCAACAGCAGCAGTAGCGACGCTCGGTTGCTAGTGTGATGTTGTGCGTTGCCGCTCGTCGCGTTGCTCCCGTGTTGAAAGGTTTCTTATCTTCTTTTTTCGTAATCGTGCTGGGCGTTGACATGTGTGCATGTCGGAATGCTCTATTTGCTTCGCGCGTGAGAAACTTCGATAACGTTACGATCTCTGGTTCTTGATCCGATCCGTGGTCCTCTGCGTAGTCCCACCATTTTGAAGTGACGCATGGGTTGAGCTTCGCTACTATTTCTTGCACCAGCATTGGGTTTGAGAGGTATCCTTTCTTGTCAATTTGCTTCATAACGCAGACGATGTTTTGAACTTTAACCGCTAGCGCGTTCCATTCGGCGGCGGTGGTTCCGAGCTTCGGTAATCTTCTTATCTGCTCGAGCACGTGGCAGATGATGCTTTCTGGTCGTCCATAACACTGC